TAGTAGCCTGATTTATAAAAACTATGGTTTCTAACAAAAAAACATAAAGATCTTGGTTGCATAAACATATTAAGTATTGTTAAATCTGAAATCAGGTCAACGACGATGAGAGGCGTTACATGGTTAGAACCTGTATGATGGTGATGATGGTGATGATGAATCAGTGGCAAAGGAGCTTCGATGGACACATAGCTTATATCAGAAGAAACGTGTTTTCGAAGGCGACATAGATCCTTTTTACAGCTGGAGATCACCGTCTTGTAGGGAGGGAAGATGCATTGATTGAGTGATGGATCAATGCATCTGGTAACGGTTTGGAGGAGAAGAATCTCTTAAGAAAAGACACGCTCGACTCGAGACTCTTTACAAAGACCATCTCAGATGACCTTTCCAAGCCTCCACTGTTTGACCTTATTAGAGATTGCAGACCTTGAACCCTAGAAACACAAACGTCAACAGACGTGAAGAGACGAAAGTGTGAAGAAGAAGGTAAAATGGCCTGTAAACACGTCACATACATGGGGTAACAATAAAGCCCATTCCCAGCCCAAATCGGATGTGTCCTACGTGGACTTAATGAGGTGGCAGCCTATGTGGCATGCTTGAAAGGGAGAGAAACACTCCTTTATATAATAGATNAGAAACACAAACGTCAACAGACGTGAAGAGACGAAAGTGTGAAGAAGAAGGTAAAATGGCCTGTAAACACGTCACATACATGGGGTAACAATAAAGCCCATTCCCAGCCCAAATCGGATGTGTCCTACGTGGACTTAATGAGGTGGCAGCCTATGTGGCATGCTTGAAAGGGAGAGAAACACTCCTTTATATAATAGATAAACAAAACTATTGCTCATTGATCAATACAAGTTTCATATTATTTTCCTCTTTACGAGCCATCACAAACTTAAAAGCTTCAAAGAGTGCAAAAAGATGAAGAATATCATACTTGTTCTTGCTATGATGATCTTCTTCTCAAGCTGTGTAGTCACAGCAAGCGAAGTAGAGTCATCAACAACTAACGAAGAGCTCTTTCGATCGGGGTGGTTCCACCCTAGCTTTCATCCCAAGCCATATGTAAACCCTAGAAAAGTCTTCCCCGGGATCATTAGATGTTTGTCCGACAAAGAGGAGGTAAGTGCATGTTTTGATTATATCGTTAGAAGTTTTTACACCGGAGCCGAATGTTGCGAAGCCATCAATAAGATGACCCAAGATTGTGAGACCGTCTTTGGATCTTTTCGTAACTCCTTCTACACCGACTTTGTCAAGCTACACTGCTCCATTGTTGTTGGATCTACTTCACCGGCTCCTCCTTCGCAGCCTCCTTCATCAACTCCTTCACATGCTCCTTTATATGCTCCTTCACATGCTCCTTTATATGCTCCTTTACTGGCTCCTTCATCAGCTCCTTCACATGCTCCTTCACCATCTCAGGGATTTTAGCTATTTATTAGAATTATTCAAGTATTGGTTTCTTAGGGAGTTTTAGTTTTTTTTTTTCTTTTTATTTATTTTTTAAAAATTTAGTCTTTCTTTTGAGAAGACGTGTTTGGATTTAACTTCACTTTGATGTTTTTGTTCTGCAAATTAAATTTAATTTTTACTCTTTTTTATTTTTATAAATTAAATGGTACTAAATCTTTATCATAATAAAAAGTTATTACCCAATTTTCTAGTGTTATCTTACGACCTTATGGGATAAGTTGATGGTTTGTCCAAAACATTGAGAAACCGGTTTTGATTTTAGATCAATATTAATAACCAAATCCTAAACCAAAACTAAATGGTTTTTTATTCTATTAATAAAAATATCAAACCTATTCAAAATTAGAACCAAATTGTAAAATATTTGATCAATACCAAAATTTCTAGAAACTAAAATACCCAACTTTAACCCGATCGATCCCATATCCATCCGAACGCCCAACACTATGATTAGACTGTTGATTAGGTAACGAAAAATCATCAAGCTGTTGCGTATTTATTACTTTACATAGTGTGGTGGCGGTTAATCAAAACTTGAGAGCTGAGAGTGGTTGGCTATAATGGGCCGATATGGACCAGAAGTACGGCCCTTTTAAAGTATCTAAACAACTCAAAACCATCCGAATGCCCAACATAATGATTAGGCTGTTGATTAGGTAATGAAAAATCATGAAGTCGTTGCGTGTGTGTTACTTTACACACTAGGTGATTTTCCCGTGCTCATGCACGGGCATGTATATTTATAAAATAAATATACAATAATAACTGATTGATATTTACTTTAATTTTTAAATTAATTTATAGTTTGTAATTTATATTATAATATTAATTTTAGATATGTTATATTTAGTCTGTTTTATTGTTTTTACGGTCGATTTAGTTATCATTTATATATATTGGATTCTATATATTTCTCTTAATTCAACTATTATCTTTTATATTTTAAATATATTAAATTTTTGATTAACTGTCTTATTTGCATTTATGGTGGTTGTTATCTTAGAAATATAAGTATATTTAGTAAGATTATATATAACTTAAGATTTTTTTGTGCTTAGAAGGAAAAAAAATAAAAACTAAAGTTTCTGTTTATAAATTACATACATAAGTAACTAACGAATTTTTAGAAGATTTTGAACACATACCAATATTTACAATAGTTAAAATATTTTATAAATTCTAAATAAATGAATGCTTTAGATTGTTTGGATGGTAAACTGAAATTTATTTTAAATAATTTTAAAAATAAGGATTCTGATTTGCTTGGTTATATTATGTTTCACAAACATAAAAACAAAAAAATTAAAAATCAAAAGATTTATTAAGAAAACAGATAACTTTAACTATTAAAATATAATACGTCTACCTCGTTAAATTATATAGTGTTATGGTATTTTAAAATAATAGTAGTTATTTTCTGTTTCTATGTTTGTGAAACTTAATATAACCATAATCAAAATACTTAAGTAAATCAGAATCCTTATTCTTAGAACATATAATTTTAACTATTAAAATATAATATATCTACCTCGTTAAATTATATAGTATTATGATATTTTAAAATAATTGTAGTTACTTGATCAAAAGATGTTTATCATTAAATTTATTTTTAGTTTTATTTTTAGTATCTCTTAAAATAGTCAGTAAAAAGTGATTTTTTGAGAAATTATACTATATAAGTAAAATAGAATTTATATTTTTACTGTAATTGTAAGATATTATAGTCAAATAAATATACAAAAAAAATAATTTCAATAATACTAATTATAAAAAAAATTCAGTTAAACATATATCAGTTTATGTTAGTTGATTATTTTATGCAATCATCTAATAAAATAGATAGATATATACAAAAATAATTATTTTGAAAATATATATATTTTATTGTTTAAAATTATTTTTAAGGAAAAATATTTCTTTTTCTAATAGCAATATTTTTTGTGTGAATTATTTTTATGAAATCTCATTATATACAGATATTGTTTTTTTTTTTATCTAAGAAGATATAGGTATAAAGTATTTTATTACTTCAAAGGTATATTTTATGTTATTTAAAATATATTTAAATTAATTATTACTATTTTGTGAACTTTCCTTTTTTTTATTAAATCATATTATATATACTTATATTTTCGTTTTTAAATAGTTTTGTAAATTTTATAAATGTTTCCTTTTTATTTTATATTGTTATTTGGAAATTTTTAAAAAGTAAATAATATTTAATTGTATTTTAATTCATTAGGGGTATCATAGTAATCAACCAACGTGAGAGTTAACGTGAGCGCGACACCTAAGAAACTGACTTCTCAAATAATATTATAAAGATTGTGGTGGTGGTTAATCAAACTTGAGAGCTGAGAGTAGTTAGCTATTATGGGCCGAAAGTACGGCCCATTTAAAGTATCCAAAATTAATATTCCTATATTCGTTTTTGATGTTCTTTACCAAATCTCACAGTGTCTATCCTTCCCTTCCCTATTTTGGGATTAAAATTCGCCGCGTGGTGGAGAGAGAGAGAGATGTCGCCGACGCGCTTTCACCGGAAGTCAATCAGAATCCAACTCTACTCCTATCTTCAATCCGCTTGATTCTCTTACTCTGTAACTAAATCTCACACGCCTCAAATACTCTGCTGTTCTGGTGAAGCTTGGGTAGTTAAGTAGTTCTAGGGTTTTGGATTTGATGGAGCCGAGAGTGGGAAACAAGTTTCGGCTGGGGAGGAAGATCGGAAGTGGATCATTCGGAGAGATCTATCTTGGTTAAGCTCTTTACTTTACTTGCTTGTTTTTCTCACTTTTTTAAATTATAAATTTTATGCAAATTAATACTATGGATTTGAATGGATATGGTGTGTTTTTTGTAGGTACTGATATACAGACTAATGAAGAAGTTGCAATTAAACTTGTAAGTATTCGTTTTCACTAATAAAGTGTAGATCGATCATTCAAGTAGAGAAATGTGAGGTCTTTGATTACGTTTGGTAGTGATCACTTGTGGACATATATCTGATTAATAAATAATTGAACTTTCTCGGAATTAGGAATGAAAGGTTTGATTTTTTTTTTTTTGGTGGCACATGTGTGTGTTGTACAATTCTTATGTTTATTGCTTGGTCTTTTCTTAGTTTCTTCTTTTACCATGTGTTAAAAGTTTCTGAATGGTGTTAAAAGTTCCAAGCTTTGAATGTTTTTAGTGACTACAATATTCAGTTTATAGCATGATTTTAAAACTCTATATTCAGTGTTTAAATAAAGAGAAAACTGAACATTATGATTATAATCATAGGAGAATATTCTGTGTTTAGACGGAAAAAGGAATAAAAGATACTTTAATAGGCGAAGACACAGCTATAAAGGCAGTTACTACTGCGTTTTATTAGAACTGAGAGCTTATTATTGATTTGGGAAGATAGTGTAGTTAATGCTGAATAAGCTCTTAAGAGCCCACGACAGCATTACATGCAACTGGGGGTCCCATCGTGTTGAAAATTTTGAGATGTTTTGTTGTGTAGACTAAAGATGGAGAATTATGAGGCTGACAGCTACCATGTTATTGTACTGAACGTTGGTTGTATGTTATAAATATGCTTCTTTTCTGTCACCTGTTTTCGCTGGTTCCGACTGTCAATTATGCTATCAATCAGATCGGATCCTCATGTTTCTTTGTTGTTCTGAAATTTTAGACATTTATCTTAAGTTTGCTGTATATGTTCTGACAGCACCCTTTTTACTTTTTCCAGGAAAGTGTGAAAACTAAGCATCCTCAGTTGCTGTATGAATCTAAATTATATAAAGTATTACAAGGAGGAAGTAAGGACCTAGTTTTGTACTTCCTTACATTTGCAATTTGTGGTTTCTTTTTTTTTTTTTTAATTCAAGAGAGGCTGCTTTCCTTTCCTTAATTTTCAGCCGGTGTTCCAAGCATTAAATGGTATGGTGTTGAAGGGGAATATAACGTCCTTGTGATAGACTTATTGGGGCCTAGCCTTGAAGATCTATTCAATTTCTGTAGTAGGAAACTCTCACTGAAGACTGTACTAATGCTTGCAGATCAAATGGTAGGATCCCTTCCATTGGCTGAAAATAGTTTTCCCATGTTGGATATGGATATTGCCTAATTACTTTGGAAATATTCTTTTTACCCTTGTCAGATCAATCGCATTGAATTTGTTCATCAGAGGTCATTTCTACACCGGGACATCAAGCCTGACAACTTTCTGATGGGGCTCGGGAGGCGCGCAAATCAGGTAGCTGTTGAAAACGATTGTTTTTAGGCTTTGTTTATTCTCCTCAATTATCTGTTAAACGAAATGCTTTCCGAGTACAGGTATACATCATCGACTTTGGTCTAGCAAAGAAGTATAGAGACTCAAATCATCAACATATACCGTACAGGTTGGCCACAGACCTGTGATTTTCCTTGTTGACCCTGTGCTTCTGTTACTTATGTGGTGACAGTATTGGATTAAGTTGCTGAACCATAAAAATTGGGTTGAGCTAGTGCTAGAAATTTGCTTTAGTTTCAACTAGCTTGTGCTGTCTTACTTGAGGTTATTCGTTGTTATACATTCTGTGAAAGGATGGAGTCTTTTTTTTTTGCTTACAGTAGGCTGCAGTGTGGTTATTACAATTTTTTCTACTGTCTGATTGTACCTTACCTGTTTACTGTTAATTTTTTGCCCTATCTAGAAAATAGACCGAATTTTCCTTTTTTTTTGAGTATAATCGTTGCTTCATTCTTGTTTTAGTGTGCATAAAGTTATAGAGACATAACAAGCGTATTTGTAGGTGTTCTTTCATTTTGAACAAGGTATTGCTGCCGTTTTAGTAATTTTTGGGAATAACCTCTTACTAGGGATATTTGGTGTATTTTCCAGTTTTTGGGAAGCTGCAATAGTGTCATAGAAGATTATTTTGGTTAATTGCTAGGACTAGTAACACTTTCGATGATTGCAGTAT